TAGCGCCTCAGAAATGAAGAAGACGACCTTTTATTATAGTAGAGAGAGATACCAACTTGTCCACCAAGCGCAGGCTAAATACCAAACATACTGTATTTTCGATAGCAGTTGAGAGGGGAATGTCACCCTCTTATTTGTTATTCTGAGTAAGAGATTTGGGGAATATCTAATGCTACATTCACACAATGTTGGTAGAAGCGGATGGACAGGAAAAACACTTCTTATTCTGATTTAGGATTGATCATGCATTATACTAAGGTTGTTAGCCTTAGTCTTACCTTGTAGTCACACCAGATAAATAGATTGTAATAGCATTAATATTGAATTTTAGTTAAATGTGCCTTTATTGTATATTTTGAACTATATCATTATCCATATTACACCACTTTCTGAGAAAATGACTAATAAAGATTTGACTTTATTGCTGACGTGAACATCACATGATGACAAAACAAAAAAAAACAGTTGAAATCAATCAAAACACCACATCCATCCAGCCACTGCTATCCTGGTTCCTTTCAGCCTGTCACCAAACCAGACTCATCACATCTGTGCTCATGCTTTAATTAAACACATTCACACACACACACACACACAGCTTGGCTAATCGATATGTTTTCAAATGTCTTTCTTGTGAGGATTTATAAGAAAAATAAAGATGCAAATAGATAAAAATAAGTAGAAGCTGATTTCCTTTGTAGGCTATGACATGAACAGTGAATGAGCAAACATCCCAAATTTGACATCGCCATGGCAACAACAAATTCACATATTGCAGACTGTCACGTATAGTCGCTCAAGATTCGGGGATATAGTTAAAGATATAAAGATATACAAACAGAATTATTAACTTCTCTGTACTCTACATCCTTGACCCAGTTTCCCCACAGGCAGGGATCAGTAACAGTCTGGGTAAACCGAGATGCAGTGTTCAGTGCCAGTAGAAAATAAAATCCCGCTTTACACGGTTCTGTTATTAAACTTTTTAGCATGAATGTGTGCTCCTCTCATCTGATTATCACAACTACCACCAGGGCAAAAATGACTTCTTATTTTCTATGCCAGTTACAGTAATTATGCCAATTTTGCCAGTTTCTCTCTGAAGTCAATGCCTCTCCAAGTGAACTGAATTCAATTTTCATAAATTGTTAAGCATGTTTTTCAAAGAAGACTTTTTATACCACTTGTCATACTTCCCTTATTAATGTGGGAAGTTACACCACAATCAGAAAGAGGCTAGGACTGAAAAATGAATCAAACAGCAGATTTTCCAGGTTTGCTGCAGAGCGAAATGTTGAAATATTAACTGACTTAATCACATATTTTCTCAGTCTACACACACTGACACTCACATCACAGGCCCCCAGCTGCTGCTCTGTTGTAATTTATTATCCCTTCTATACCCAGTGGAGTCATGAAATCAGCCTGGACATATTTTCTCAGTCTCACACACAAACACACACACACACACAAAGAGGTTGCACTCGCTTCAAACGTTATCACCACATTGTACCTTTTTCAAACAGTCATTTCAGCTAATACCTGGCAGCGACCTCCTTGGCGTAATTAGTATAGAGTCCCCTAGGGTGAGCATAACAGGGCAGAATGCACTGAATGAAAGAATGATGCAAAAGGTCTCAAGCTGTCAGAAAACAATAAAAACCACAGAGGAGATGCTCTAAGTGAAGAAAGCTAATGGCTTTTATTTATATTTCATTATGTTGTTATGAATGCCACCGTAACACAGATCAGACCATGGAAGAAATATTGGAAAGAGGCAATGTCACATCTATCTTCTTTGTGTGTGAAGATGGTAAATTATAGCGTTGAAAATCAACACAAGGCAGCGTCACAAACTACATCATCCCTGTCTTAGTGTTACTCAAGAGGTTTTTAGGGAAACACTTTATTTAAGTGTTTGTTTTTCCATCCATCCCTGATTCCTGCTTACCATTCCTCTCTCATCCTTCCCACTCCACCTGTACCCAGAGGTTTAGAGTAGCCACCCAGGAGCACGTCCTCACCCTTTTGTTTGTAACATTTACACTCTCTGAATATTTCATAAGGCATAAACACAACTCTACAACAGCACATGATGAGGCTTTGTTACAAATATTTCCATAATTTACACAAATAGAACTACTGTCAGGTCACAACCTTGTATTTCTCAAATGCCAACTTGGAAAACAGGTTTGTGTTTTAGATGGATCACAATGCAGTATTGAATTTTACACTCACATAAATGAACTGCAGAATTTTTTCTGCCATCACAGTAGCAGGTAACTGCTAAGACAGAGATTTTAAGATGTAGACCATCAGCAATGGTGTTATCAGCAAAGCATGTGCATATTTGCACTTAGGCACCTCTAACCACGCAAACAAATATACACTGGCGCTCACAAATGCACACACAGACATGTACTCTGGGGAAGAACTGCACCATAATTATGCCTAAGGTAGAAGCGATTAATTTTTTAATGGACTCAATGTTTTATTCATAGCACCTATCCAGTCTTGGATATGGTAGAGCGCCACTAAACATTAGCCAGAAACAGAACACATGGTAAAACTGGCTATTAGCAATTACATGCAGCTAAAAAAAATACACACACACAGAGTAGCTTTCAACAATAATATCTGAAGCTGATACTATAAATACAGAAATAAAGGTTCCATAAATAATTTCACAAATATGAATGTCAGGTCTCGTCCGCTACATGCTTTGTTTCCAGGTTACTAGGGACATGGGGTGTCTGATAGAAATCACGTGTATGTGACATAAAGTGAAAGAGAGAAAAGAGTGGAAGGAAAAAAGGGTGTTGTCTGAAGCTATTTACCTCCTTATTCTACTGGATGTTTATCATATGCACAGCTTGCACCAGTGTGCCAGCTGAATGTGAATAGTGTTAATATCAAACATATGTAATGTTTAAAAAAAATCAGATTACTTTAAGCCAGTCACTCCCTAACCTTGCCAATACTTGCTATCCACCTCCCATGCCCTGTTTAACCTTTCTGTACACATTTAATAATGCACAGCACTACAAATTCCCTAATTTATCACTCTCTCCCAGTTGGATTTGAAGTGACAGATTTATTAGATAGTCATTTGAAACTGCACGTAACACTGCCAGCTGAGGGTCAGTAAGACTGACAGAGTCAAAGCAATTTGATGACCTCGAGATGATAATGACCATCCAGGAAAGAAGGACACAGAGGAGGACAGAGAAGGAGATAAAGAGACATGTGAAGTGGTGTAGGCAGGTAATAAAGGAGAAAAGGTTGGATGGTCAGACATCTGGCAGTGTAGCTGGGATATGTTGAGAGAAACTGGGACAGATTGAAACTGTTGTGTGATGAATCATGTTATATCAAATAATATACTGTGCATACAGAGGGCTGCAATGCTTAGGCTAGTTGATAAATACAAGAGGACGTCTTTCAGGGATAGATTATATAAAGGAAGTATTTGACATTTTGGGAAATAGTCACAATTTTCTTGCTGAAATTTCAATGTTATGTTTAGATATGATTTGGAAACCTGAAATTCTCTAGACATTACCTGAAGGAGCTGTATATGAGAATGCAAATCTCTGAGTCAGTTAACCTGGCCCTTAAATGGACTTTACTCTGCCAGCTACATAGTACAAAGTCTGTGTAATGTCCCGGTGAGCCGGAGTGAGCCCACATAAGGAAAACAGCTGTGTATAGTCTGGAGTATTCACACGGAACTAGTCGGTGTGTTGCTGATGTTGTCACGATCCTGCCCCGTCTGCTTCCTGTCGTGTGCTTTTATTTTGTATCCACTTCCTTTTCAGTTGCACCTCAGTTACAGACTCTTTAGTTTAATCTGTGTTCACCTGCTTCTGATTGCTCACACCTGTGTCCAACAGCTTATAGGCAGTGTTCCCTCACTAGAATGCTGCCAGATTGTTCTAGACTCCAGCTCTGACTCTCCAGCCTGTAATTCTTGCCTGACCCTCTCGTTTTGACCTTGGATTGTTGTTCTGACCACCATGTTTTGCCTATTTCCTCCCAGATCCTGATTACCGACAAGTGTAGCGACTTTCTGCTATCTCCTCTCTGACTTCCTGAGTTTGGATCCCCTGGCTGTATGTGATTACCGGCACTGACCTTGGACTGTCTTAATGACCTGATAAAGATTCTGGACATTGCATGTTAGTTTTGTTTTACGTCAGTAAAAATATCTTCCTCTACCCCAGTTCGTCTGGTCTTATAATTGAGTTCACCATAAACACTATTTGGCAGCATCACACGCCAATCTTGACTGATGTCCTATCATGTGACCGGGTGGGGGGGAACAGGAAGAATTATATCTGATTTCATTTACAATAAAAACACCAATAAAACTATTTAACTGGAGACATAATGTGATTCAGGACCTTTTGTCATTAAAGGCTCCAGATTTGTTATACAAAGCAAGCTACTGGTTGTTTATGACCAAGTTACAAACTGGTTATGTGACTGCATCATATCCCATGAGAGTGGTATCAATCTTAAATCAAATAGGAATATTAATCCAGAATATGTAACATTTAACATAAAGCATACCTGTTAAAAGACAATATAGGTGTAAAGATATAGTCCTATAGGCTTATGGGACATATTTTGAAGACAAAATGGAGAGGAAAACGGAAAGTTCAAGCAATGGCTTACAATAAAGAAAGAATCACATTTGAAGCATATTTCACATATTTACACATCACATGTGGAAAATCACTTCACATATGCACAAATTCACATGTAGGTAAATGTGGTTTTCATTACATGTGATTGACATGATTTAATGTGCACATCATTTTCTGTGCATCTCTTTTCTTTTTTCTTGTGTCTGTTAGATTTTCTATAAGAAAAATGAAACAAAGAGCAGAAAACATCAAAGATTTTCCCCCATCTTTGGCTGAATTCAATAGACAGACTGCAAAATTTAATGTGTTGTTTATTTAATTTGATTTAAAGGATGATTTGTGGCTTGTTTTTCTTTTAAGACATTTTTCTTCAGACATCGTGATGTCTGAAAAAGCCTCATGATATATAACTTTAGCAAAATAAATTGCAGGATGCAGTGATCAATAATGTAGGAATGGGATGTGAAGAAGAATATGAGCATTAAAACAATCACTGAAGTGATAGTGTCTTCCTGAAGGATGCTGTTTTCTGAGGCACTGCCATCCTTTCAGGAGGAGGGGGTGCTGGGTATCTCAGTTTTCTCACGACCTGATATCGGCTGCATCGTGAAAGAGCAAGACCATGCAGAAAGGGTTTTTTTTTTTATTACTCTGACCTCAGTGGGTTGGGTATATTATTGGTGCATGGCTGTTAAAAGATGAAGAAAATGGGCGAGTTTGCCGGTCGTTCGTCCAATCACATACCGAGGTGTGGCTCTCTGAAGGCGTGGCCAGGGTGGAAAGGGTGGTGCTAGAAGCGGAAGTGTGTTTCGGCCGATCTCTCGCTGTCATTCGGCCACGGTCGGTTCCAGAAGAGAGGGGCAGCCAAGCAGCACATAGGAATCGGCTGGCTCTGTAGGAAAAACGGCTAGCGAGAAAAGATACTGAAACCATACGAACAATGAAACCGATCGAATAAGGCTTGTGAAAGATCTGCGCATTGCCACGTTAACAAAGCCCTTTGATGATCCAGTCCAGATTAGAAGCAGCAGATAGATAGAGAGCTGTGTCATTGAGCAGGCAGGACACGTCAGGAGAGGGGAGAAAAAAAAAAGCTGACCGACTGCACTGAACGAGTCAGCTATCAAATCACCTCAGAAAAGCGTTGCCTGTCCTGCTTATTTCGTCAAGGACACCACCTTGCTGTCAGCCCGAGGGGAGGATCTCGACAAAGACATTGCCGAGGTAGAAGGTGGTGATCAGAAGGTGAAAAGAAAATGTACCCGATTGTATTCAGATTGTCCAGTTAGCTAGCACTTGTGCTAACGGTTAATAGCTAGCTAGCTAATGTTAGCAACGGATGGAAATGTTAGCTGGCCAGCTTTAAACCGCCTGACCGTCGACTGTTACATCAAGTGTAACAACCTAGTAATAAACATTAATGTGCGACACTATTCTGTGGGCACATTTCAGTCACAGTAGACAAATGTATAACTTATGTGTGATGTGTGATAAATTTTGAGGTAGGGCAGCTGTCAAACAAGGTCGAGTGCCTTCTGAACGTTATGAGGTTTCTTGCTAATATTTTCAAAGCTCATTGATATTTGTATTACTGTGTTATCATTGTGGTTATACATAATGTGGGTCATTAATTGTGTGCCACTTGGTTTGCGTTAAGAAAACGACTCCAAATGGAGAACGTGTCGACTACGTTAGTGGCTGCCAGCAGCTCAGCTGTAGATGTACAGGCTGGCAACGTCACGGGGTTATAATCAGCTGAACAGTAATGTGGTGTTAATGGTTGGCTTTTGTCAAGTGCTCAGAGTGTGTAAGGGTAGATTATACAAGATTTTGCAAGAATGAGCTAATGTGTGACAGTGTTTTGTGATTATCTTATATCTAAGAGTTTTCTGAGGAAAAAAAGAGCCAACAGAAAAATATGCCACTAGAAAATCTGTGTCCATCACCAGGTGTTTCTAAATCCCTTCATTTGTATTGGAAGGAGACAGGCTGACTGTTAACTGAGTGCATGCCGTCTTGTGTGCTCTTCTCTCAATAGGACCAAACGATCACGGGATAGCATTTGTGTGTGGGGGCAGAAAACAAATGGGGGATTACGGGTTTGGAGTCCTAGTTCAAAACAACACTGGCAACAAGTCTGCATTCCCGGTCCGAATCCACCCGCATTTGCAGCCCCCACATCATCACCAAAATGTGTCGCAGAGCCCTGCTGCTTTCATAAACAGCACCACAGCCGCAGGGAATGGCACCACAGGAGGCTCTCCCTGGCTCTTCCCTGCCTCTGCCACCCACAACAGTGTGCAAGACGAAATCCTGGGGGGGACAGAGAAGCCCAAAGCACAGCAGCAACAGGAAATGCAAGAAACGCTGGAAAAGCAACAGCAGCTGTCCCCTGGGAGTCACCAGGAGGGTGGAACTGGTGGTGGGATCATTTCAGAACTGGAAAAAGTGCGGTCAGAGGAAGCCAAGCCAGACAACGGCACATCTGAAGGAAGTAATGGAAAGGAGAAGCAGCTACGTCTTGAGTCTCCAGTCTTGACAGGGTTTGATTATCAGGAGACGTCTGGTCTCGGGGGAACTGGCCCGGTCCAGTCCAGTACAGCCTCGTCATCATTTACCAGCTTCAACAACTGGTCAGCTGCAATCCCACCAGCACCGTCAACCATTATCAATGAGGATGTTAGCTTCTTCAACCCAGCCTCTGCCAACAATGGGCCCCTGCTGTTCCAGAACTTCTCACACCATGTTAGTCCAGGTTTTGGTGGGAATTTCTCACCCCAGATTGGACCGGCTGCAGCCTTGTCCCAGCACCACCCAGCTCCCCCACCGCACCCACATTTCCAACACCCCCACAACCAACACCAGCAGCATCGGCGCTCCCCAGCCTCTCCACATGCTCCACCGCCCTTTCCACACCGGAATCCGGCGTTCAGCCAGTTGCCACATTTGTCCAACAGCCTGAACAAGCCCCCTTCCCCCTGGGGTCCAGCTAGCTACCAGTCCCCATCTCCTTCCCCTGGGTCCTCCACTTCCTGGAGTCCTGGAGGAGGCTATGGTAGTGGTGGCAGCGGCTGGGGAGGGTCACAGGGCAGAGATTATCGCAGAGGGTTGAATGGTGGGATGACCCCCATCAACTCTATCTCTCCACTAAAGAAGACCTTCCCTAACAACCATATGGCATCCCAGAAGTACCCTCGAAACAGTCCTGCAGGCTTCAACCCCAAGTCCTGGATGGATGACGGAGTCAGTCGTGGTGATAACATCTTTCCCTTTCAGGTCAGTTTGTCTGTGATAGTCTCATTTATTGATTGAACAATAAATATGACATCTTTTAATTAACTGTAACACATTATGGAGTTTTTGTCTGTGCATATGTATGTGTCTGTAATGTGTGTTCATACTTTGTGTACGAATATTTTTCAGCTTGCTGCCCGAATGATTAAACATTGACATTTCATTTATGTCAGCTGTTAATTATATTGCAGCATGTGTTATAGCTGCTATATTTAGACATGGGAGGGGGGCATGGAGTTACATGATGCATTTGTAACTGTGTTAGCTTATAAATCGGTCACAGGGCTCTATGCTTCCACAGCGCTGTGTCCCTGATGATGACTAATATGGCTCTGTCACTGCAGTGGTGGTGTGTGCCACGTATACGAGCTGGGTTGTTGGAAGGAGGAGTGGCGGAGGCATTGGCGATGGAGACAAAGATGGGGAGCAGGATATGGAAATAGGAGCGGGAGGTTTGAAAGGGGGAAGCGAGAGAAGGTACGAGCAGAACAGTTGTGGGAATGGGGGACCCAGAAAGACAGAGCGCGAGATGTAAAGAAACATGAACAAGAAGACGTCATCATGACATTTCTTTCATTTGATTCAAAAACTAAATAAATAACAGAGGTGTTACTGCAGATTGATGGATCAAGCTCTATTCTTTACCCTGTCCACAAAACAGGGATCAGTCTGTTTTATTCTGTGAAACGGAGCCTAATGATTTTTCAGGATTAACGCTTTATTAATCAGCCAAATCCCAGCAACACGTTTTCAAAATGCCAGCCTACTCACGAGAGCTGGGTCCACACACAATGAAGGTGGCTTGAATAACTGTATAATCACATGTCAAAAATGGCCGACAGGACTGTCTTAAAGAGGTAAAGGAAGCATGGAGATAAAATCACGTTATTGATCGAGCTCATGACTGATTATGTCAATCGTGGGGTGGGGGTGAAGAGAGGAATGTTGCTATAGGTCCAGCTGTGGCTGATGACCTGATGAAAGGTTTTTTTTTGATGTACTGTGCATGCCCTTTGCCTACCTTGTTAATCTTTTGTTTCTTAACTTGGTGGCAGATAAACTTCTGGTCAGCCATACTGTACATACCGGTTTTGAATGGAGTAGATAGTGTTCAGTTGTCTAAATGGTTGCTTGGCTTTGTTGTTTCAGCCATCTGTCAATAGCCTAACAACATTACTAAGTGGCTTCAGAGACCACTACTGAGGCACTACTTAATTTCCTGGCCACGGCCATGCATAGAACAAGTCAGAATTCTCTGTTTTAGTTTAGACATTTTCTTCAGGAATGGCCTAAAATGTACCAAAAAAAGCAAATTAACTCAGTTTAAATTGTGGAAAGTGATGTTTGCTGTGACCTTTCTAAGCATTTCCTTATTTCCCCTTGCAATTAATGACTCGCAGTGCCAACAGAGGCCAGACCATTAATGACGTTGTACTAACATGTCCTGACATGTCTTGGAATATTTTTGCTCAATAGGCAGCAAATCTTACCTCTGAGCAGCCATTTACCATTAAATAACAGTTTAACAGTTGTAGGGGTTAAGTTTATATCTGACTAGATCCAAATTATTAGGGCCTCATTCTTATTAATATTTTAGAACCATACTGGCAAACCAAACCAGCGTGCCTAGCAACAGTAGTAATTGTTGATGCTATATAAAAAGGGTTATAGATGCCATCGCCTAGCACCTATAGCCCTAATAGTTGCTCTTGTTTCTTCAGAACTGTGATTTTGCATCCATTTTCAGCAGTCAAGAGACCCTCCTGTTACATCCCTATGTCAGATTTCAAATAAAGCTAGTGCTTTGAATCCGTTCAGCTAAAGTAGCATTGTTTCTCTGCCCTCTTGATACTGCAAGGGCAGATGGAGGATGGGCATAGAATGGCCTTACTGTGTTTGTCTGTCTGTGTGCTGGTGTTTGACTGATTGTGCAAGTACAACAATTTACAAAAAGCAAGAATAACTAAAAACATTTTGGTCTAGATTCGGAAAAATATGCAGATAGTTGTTAGTTTATGAGGCTCATATCGTACAATACAACTGCTAGGATTCATTCACCACATATGCTTGGGAAATTGGTGTTTTGTCCAACTAAACTGATGTAAAGGAAATAATAAGCATATTAATTTATATTTACTGTTCTTTATAAACTATAAGTTGATGATTTAGTTCCACATCCCCTGTAACTGAATTGAAAAATGTGTCATTTTGGCGTGAGTAAATACTGTAGATCATGTTGCAGCATTGAAGCCGTTTCTGTGGAAGCCTGTTAAATTATTACACAGGCGGCAGTGTCAATTTCATTCTTCACAAGCCTACTCTGTAGTTCAGCCTTGAAGCTGTCATTGACAGTGTTGTTTCTGACTTTTAGTGCCTTAACTTGTTTTAAGATGTGACATGAAAATTGCCATGTTGTCAGCCATTTGGCTTAGGCCATTTTTTATTCAGTCCCATGACCATGCTGAAGACCCGCTCTAGCCAAAACCATCTGACCAGTAGCTTTATTTTACTTTTTAAAAACTATACTCCAAATGATGCCAGTCGGTGCTTCCCAAAATCTTGCACTGTTCAAATGACTGATGACATATTGCCTTACACAAGGCATACCCAGGTTTGGTAATTGAGATATAGTAACTACTAAATACCGTAACTGAACTAAACAGACTTCATGAGGAACTGTTGTCACACTCTTCCACTGTAAGCCTTGTCCAACTGCCTCGCATAGTTTCTATTTTAACACTGGCATACCAGATGAAGGAGCAGAGGGTTTTGCTTTAAAATTCCATTGTTCTGACTGTGTACTATCAGAACTAATCCATCAAAGTGTTTCTTTGTACACTTTTGGGTTAGATGTGATTATAATACACGGGTCTACAGAGACGAGTTAGACTGTTGACATCCATAAAATAGCACTTATGTAACATTTGCAGTAATACTATTCAGTAGATGGGAACACACATTACAATAGCAATAAGCCACTAGTCAGTATGCTGCTCTGTTATTAAGGATTGCTGCTAAAGCAAAAATCTCCCCACAGTCACAGGGTTGGGCATGGGCTTACGCCATGACAGTCATTTGCGTGTATATGACCAAATGTGTAAATGCAATTTGAGAGCAAGGGCATTTGGTGGATAGTTTATCTATTCAAATTGGTGTACAGCACCAAGGCAGACAGGGAGAAAATGTTCTGGTGCTGTTACTGCAGCAGACAGGGCCGCTGCTATATTGGAGCAGATTTAGCATTTGGGATGGGCTGCTGGCCAGGCACATGGCTGCTAAATGCTAATGCACTGGTCAGCTGTTAACTATCCTTACACTAGGAATTTGGACTTTTTACACACCAGAAAACCCTTCTTGCCTTCTTTTATTTCTTTATTTTTCCCCTCATTCCTTATTTCCTCACCTGTGAAACTCAAGGTCAGAGGCCTGCTGCTGCGTTAGGTGTACCTCACTGCTTTGGATTGGTAGATTTGGCCAGTGACCAGGTCAAGACCTGCAGTGCCTGTAGGCGAGTGAGCCAGGTCATGATATTGTCTCAGTAAGCTGCCTGGTCACCGCTCCCTCCTCGCTGTTTGTGTAGCCTATATTATAGAGTGCTGTTATATGAAGGTACATTATTAAACTGTCTCTTCAGGCCTGTAGTGGAAACAAATGTTGAACACCTGTTGTCTGATTCAAGCTTTCTGCCTCTGTTCAACCTCTGATTGTCTGAAGTGCCAAAATAAAATGTGACAGGTGGTTAGGCAAGTATCAGCTGAAAAACTGCTCTTGGCAAAATAAGTTTAGAGACACGATTGAGTTAGTAGATCCTACTGCTTTTATTAAATGTTAATTCATTAAAGCGTCACTTTATGGGTAGAATCACACCTGCAAATGGATTCTTATTATGTGAATGGTCCACAAACAAGTGGGGAAGTTGTTGCTGTTGAGCAATAGTTGAGGCCAACGGTTGCATTAGCTGCTACGCTGGTAAAGAGATGCACAGTGCAGTATTTTTAGGCACTTTTGGTCAACAGCAGAGTCCAAGAGTATCTGTATTGTAACTATACTTTATGAAAATAAAGGTTTGGTGTTTAATTTTTATATAACTGTTGATTAGAGGAGACAGGCAGGTTTCATTGCCCCAGAAAGCCGTTCATTAAGTCTAGAGTGGTGCCCCTACAAGTAGATTTAATTGTATACAAGTGTATACCTGTTCACCTGACAATTTGATTTTGTCTGACATGAGACTCCCATGATAAGGACAGGATTACCCTGAGGCCGACATGTTTATTTAGAAGGAAGAAACTGTGTTCTTTTTCAGGTAGCCGTCATTGCATTTACAAACATCTACACAAACATCTACAAACAAACACTGAGCCACTGAACTGTAGAAGCCTGAGGTTCCATTATCTCTGATCCTTGTGACAGTGGTGTTAAATGAGAGCAATGTTTTTTAGACTAATGAGTGGCCTGAGCTGGGCTGGCAAGCCCAGAGCTGTACTGCACATACAGCCTCATTGTGTCCTTCTCACACCCTTGACAGACACTCAACACGAAGAAGGTAAGCTTGTGTGTATGTGCTCATGCCTCTGTGTGCATGAGCCCTAATTATTCTGTGGCCTGTCTTCTGCACTTGTTTTAACAAAGGAAGAGTCTATGCGGAGGTGTCATGTTGTATTTTGCCTAGCTCATTGCCTACAACAAAGGAGCCAGTTCAGTTGAATCCCCAGGCAGTGCAAATACTGCTGGAACCCCTGCTGCTGACACTCCTCTGTTACACCCCAAATGTACACACACACACACACCATTCAGCCAACACCGGGCAATAGGCTGTTTCTGACTTCTGGGGGTATTTAATTTCATACCAGGCCTTCAAAATACTTTGACCAGGAAGACCCATAATCACAAGCATCAAAAGCTCAAGCTGCTTCCTTTTCCTTCCCTTCTTTCTTTTCTTTTGACTTTGCCTTACAGCACTACTTGCTTACCCTCTCTCTATAATCCCCTTCCTTTCATCTGTCATTCCCCTATTCCTTTCTTTACTTTGGACTTCCTCCTTCTCTCTGTTTGTCTTGGGGATGTGATTAGAAGCACAAAAAATAAGGCAGAAAATTGGGATTTTCCCACCAGTTAATGTGAGATGGACATTGAAATAAGGTCACACATCTGATAACATATAAAACCATGCTGCACCTATATATTGTCTATGTCCTTTGCCCTGTTACTTTCTCCACTCTTCCCACTCTCTCAACTTCAAATTTTCATTAACAGGTAGGTGACATGGAAGCTTAATGCTGGAGTCCATCACCCACAGCATGCTGTGTTTAGTCATGCTCTACTTCCACACATGTCATCAAAATCTAATGGTGGCTGGTCTCTCTGTTTTGTGGTGCTTAAAGATTAAAACATGTCTAAAGTCAAGAGGCTGTCTGACTTAACATTATAAACAATCTGGTCAGTTTTGTTGCATTTAAATAAATGTAGCTTTATACGGTTTCATTTGGTAAGTTCTAAGTAGCATTGTAAACATGTCCAGTACCATATTCTATCGTTAATGTGTAACAGCTGTGAAACAAGCAACAAGTTCAGGCACTGTTGGAACAGGACCAGGCCTGGCTTAACGCTAGCTCAGGTGACAACTCATCAAAACGGCAGATATTTTACTGTGGTCTCTATCTGGATTGTCCTAGGCCAGCTTCTGCACAGCACTGGTGCTATTTCTGTCACAGTGTGCTATGTAAATGGACCAACACTTTGAGTATATAGCACATTTACAGTGTAGCATTCAAAGCGTTTTACACTGCTTGTCCATTCAATCACACATTCACTGTTCACACATACCGATGGTGGGCAGAACAGTCATACGAGGTTAACAGGGGCAGCTTGGGGCTCAGTTGCCCAAGGACATTGGAGAAGGATTCATCCACCAACCCAAATACCTCAAATGACTGATATGTGCTGCACTTAACATTATGTTTGTGTTATTGATTCAATTTATGACACTATATGCGTTGCCTGGCACATTGACCTATACCGCCTACATTAATTAACATTTAGTTTTGCTTAGGGCTGCAGCTGGCAACTAGTTTCATAATCTGTTATTCTGACAATTATTTTCCTAATATCCAGCCATTTGTCCGTAATCCTGCTAACCAACAAAAACACACACATAGAACTAAAAACATAACCTCCTTGACGAAGGTAATGATACCAGTTCAGAGTTCCATGCTTCCCACATTGCTAATAATGGGTACACAGTCTGATGCACTGAGCACATGCAGCTTTTTACCTCTGCTGCTTCGTGTGTGTGTTTGTCGGTTAGCAGGATTACAGACAAATGGCTGGATCATCAGCATACTTGGTACAGACATTGGTGAGGACCAACCCTAAAAGATGATCTGGATCCGACCCGGATCAAGGATTTTAGGACACACTTTGTGATGTTCTGGAACTCAGTTTTCACAAGGGACCCATTTGCCTGAGCAAATGTTGTGCCCTGGTGGAAGAACATGCACTCTCTGAGTGCTCTTGTCTGTGTGATGATTAAAATATTTATGATGCATTTAATCTTGTGTAATCCTGCAACATTTAGATCATTTTTTGATGCTTGGTCAAACATTCAGACATAATGACAGGACCAGGTAGAGGCGCTTTGCCATGCTACATAATGTAAATCAGTCCATCATGCAAACTTATCAACAGTCTCACTAAACAGGGGCTCTTTAGATCCTTTTAGCTTCAACCAGACTGCATCATACTTGCTATTTTTTCTGTTTATCCAGGCACATAGGGCTGCATTTCAGTGCTGCCAGCAAATAATGTAGTATGTCATGCCACCACTGCCATGTTTATACCTACAGCCTTGGGTTAATGGGCAACATTTTATAGATGACACAGTGATGCGGACTGCAGATTGTGTGGCACTTGCTTGCAGCTAAGCTGTGATAAGTGTGTGTGTATCTAGATGTGACAGGTGACCATGAGTACGTGTGTGTGTGTGTGTGCGTGCCCTGCAATCTGTCATGGATGAATACTTTGGTGGTCAGCTGGCCAGTTGTTGAGAGAGAGAGAGAAGGCTGCATGCATCTGATGAGTAATGACCATCTGTACCTCTCCATGCTAATGCTTAGCAACTGCAGAGCAGCAGTCAGGCCTCATGTCCGCCATACTGAGTCCATCTCAGCCACAAAATGAATTCCTGTTCTCCTGAAACAACATCATAAGATTATCCTGTGATACTACATCAGCCAAAATACAGCTGTACCAAAAAGATGGTACATGAACTAGTACCATAAACGCTAGAAATGCAGCTGATACTTATCTATTTGTCTTATGGAATAGGTTTGTGTGTGTGTCTATGCTTGAATATACTCACTAGCAGTGTATAAATACACAGCAATCCATCCTTCACTTGTTTCTGCTTCCCCTGTCTTTGAATGAGCGGTTTATTTGACTTGAAGCGATAGCCTCAGTACACATAAGATCCTGAAGCGGATATGAGAGAAAAGTAGACAAAGTCTGGCCTATATCCTTGTGTTGATATTTGTTTTGAGGGAGAGTGTGCACTGGGTGTGTTCTTCTACCAGAACCTTGCTGTTTTGTAGAAAATCTACATCAGCTCAAATGCTGGTAAAATTTTTGGCTACATTTTGGCATGGGAGTTTGGCTGTTTCAGCAGCCAGTGTGCCAGACAACCACACACTTTGGCTGATGAGACAGTAAAAGTAGCTATTGATTTTTGGGAGATGTTGCAGACACCAGACAGTAGATGAAAAAACGAGTTGAGTGGCTGAAAGACCCTTGGCCATGTGGTTCAGTGCCACAGGTCTAGTTTTCTGAGCCCTCTAGCCTTCGGCCCCTGTAGAGTTCATGGTGAAACATAGTATCCTTTCTTTCCTGTAGCCGGTTCTCCATGGACATTGCGCTATAGTTTATTGTAAGGGTGTGACGTGGTTGCTGGAAAAACACTAGAGGGGTTAGGCAAAGCTGCATTTGTTGGTTAGACACTTACAGGTTGACAGACACGCTAGGCAATTCTTGTTGTGCAAGGCCTGTCCATTATCAGTCAGGCCAGGGGCAGAGCTGAACACCTGGTGTCAATGTCAGGAAGTTTTCCAGACTACTCAAGAGAATGAGTTGACATAAAGCTTCACATTTAATCCTGTATTTCTGCATATGCTGATGACAGATTTAAAAAAAAATGTTTATAGTTTACTTTAATTGATGGGGTTTTGTGCAATGTCATGCTTTAGTTCTCTTAATACTTGTGTGTGGTTTTTAATCTGGAAACATTAGCCCACACTTTTCATGTTGTTTACTTGAGATGGATGTGATGGTTGTGTGCCATAGAGTAGACAAATGACATCTCTGTTTTTGATCATCTAGCGATCTCTCCTCCAGTCTCTCTTCTGTGTGTCTTAAAAATGACAATGTATTTTTAGGGCGCTGGTGCTCTAAAACATAGGTTTCAACATAAGACATACAGTATAGCAATGGTCAAAATCTCATAATGTGGTCTTCAGCAGCCTTATCTCCCTCCACTGTGATTATTTTGGACAGAAGGAAACAGAAGAGCTCATCAGTTTGTTATCAAGTTTGTTATCAAGTGAGGTTTGTACTGGTTGGGGTGAAGTCGAGACTGAACTCTTATCAGCATGGCACTTGGAGTGCATGTGTACAGACACATGTTTTGGTGTGTGGGCATATTTTGTGTATACACATTGCATGCACAAACACACCCTTCCAAACATTTCCAGTATGGCTGGTATGCCAAGGATGCCCTTGTTGGTGTCAAAGCTGTTGCTCAATGATCAGTTTGCCTACCGTCTACTGTTTGCTATACTGTTGACTTCCATTATGCTGCCTCATGACGGCTTGAGAGAGTTAACTTTGCAAATAACACGCGTACATGAACTTATACAGGGCACCATACCAAAGAATAGTGCAAATAGAAATTTGATTCACTCAAAAAGGGAGAATGTTCCACATTGTTGCTGATCAGCAGTGTGAACTCGAATGGTTCCCACATCTGTGTCATAGGCACAAGTAAAATGTTTTTTCTTAAGGTTGCTCAAGCATTGTTTTAGTCCAGTTTTTAATTTGCAGAATTTATCTATTCACTTTGGATTCCACTAATGTTTATCCAGAACTAAGGCTCACTCCTAATTAGTTTTTTATTCCCAATATTTAGGGAAAAGTCAAAAGTGTCAGAATTTTAAATTAAGAGGCCATTGCACAATTAAACCCTCACAGTACTTTGGTGTTGCGTTCGTCGAGACAAGGCAGTAAAAATATGCAAATGAAACAATTTAGGTTTTATAGTTTGTTTGAAATAAGCTCAAGCAAGAATGAAGTGAAACTCCTCCATAAATCACAAGGAGAACGCCTGCCTGCTTCTTCTTCCATTTTCTTTTTTGAAACTTCTTTAATAGCTTACCCTGGTCCTGAGTGCCCTGGCAATGTTCGGAGTGTAAAGCAGTCAGAATTACAAAGCAGTATGTTTAATGTGTAAATTAATATGAATGGTGCCTGCTCCTCTTGTGTAGGCGTGCTCCTTGGCGAGCTTGGGTTAACTGAGTCAGTGTTATATTAAAAATGTTTCTGCAGCTGCTCAGTGGCCAACTATAAAGAAGGTTGTTTGCCACAAAAAAAAAGAAAACCTGCATGGCTTTGAAGCAGGTGAAGAAATATAAATGATATTTCTCTTCATGTTTTTTTTTTTAGGATCGCACGAGGTCATTTGACAGCTTCAATATGAACACTCTGGAGAGCTCCCTGATCGACATCATGAGGGCTGAGCAGGACACCCTGAAAGGTGAATATGCCAGAGCATAAAACAATACACTACTCTTTTGTTTAACATTCTACTGAAGGCATAGATACAACACGGAGGTTCTAATGTTATGCCATTCCATGTGAAAACAAAAAAATACCGATTTCAGTTCACAGAGGATTTAGTTTTGGATGGGAAACAAACAGGAGGCGAGTGTGTGTCCCACTGGTGTGTTTTCCTCAGTTTAACCACTGCTCTGTGTGTATTTTTTAGCAAACCTGTGATGCACAGGTTACATAACTAAAGATATAACATTTCCCCATAGAATTATTACATAATGATTAATACTATGTGTGCACAGTAAAATGTATAAAATAGTGAGTGAGCCCCCCCCAAAGTCATCTCTAACACTTTTAACACATTGCAGTGTTAGGGCAGAATATATACTGTAATAAAATGACATGTAAAACTTACTCACTCAAATAAATGAACAAACACATGATAAAGATAGAGATAAAATAAGTGTATGTCGTTCCTGTGGTGCATTGGCCAAGCATTCAGTAGTAGTGTTACATTTGAAGCTAGAGCTCCAGCATTCACACTTGTTCCCAGTGTAACACCTCAGTTCTCTGCACAGCTCAGACACTAGACATTGTGTCTTCTTTTGGTGTTATGATCAACAGTAATAACAAAGGTCAGGCTGTGTAGCAGTCAGCTCACACGCCGGCCTTCCACTTCCTTTTATTGAAAAATGGTTTCCTTACTTGTGAGAAAATGAATTTTTCACCTGAACGTGGTGCAATGAGTATGACCTCTTTTTCTCATGCACTTTGACAAGGTGCTGCAGAAAGAATACAGGGCTGATGGCTACTTAGGCTTTTTATTTAAGAGGGGATATTGTAAGTGAGGTGGAAGGACTCCCGCTGATCTGAACTGAAGTTTTTGGCCATTATTAGTTTGTTTGCAGCAGAGCTTCCCATTTCAAGGATGGTAATAGTTTTCAGTGATACAGAATTAGTTCTGGCACATTTGTGATTTACGCAAATGCACATGTAGAGTGAAAGATGTGGTTATTGGACATTAAGTCACTAGGATGAACATACAAATGGGTGACAAATTACAGGAACACCCTGAATGAGTGAGAGGTCTCTTCCAAGAGGACACTTTTGTTTGCAGTCAGTGCTTGTAAACAGATTAATCCTATAGGTGCAATTTTGCAATATTCATTTAGTTTCATGTTTAGACTAATGTAAATACCTGCTTCCCCTCTACCCCATGTAGATTTGATGGTTACTGAAGTGAGTTTTATTCTTTACATTGCAAAGCAGAAGCTGACACTTGTAAGAAGCTGACTTTGGTTGTGGTGTCAGGTAACAAAGGTCAGTGGTAACCCAGAACTGAGTTACTGAATCCAGCAGGTAGTCAGCCCTGCTCATCGTTTTAGAGGGCGTAACTGACAGTAATTATCGAGCTCTTAACTAATAGAACATTCTGTGGCTGATATTGTTCATTGGTGGAGAGGGAGTGGTTTGTAGGATCATTCTTTGGAAGGAAACACCTTTGGTTTCTCAAGGCTTTAGTTAAGATGAAAGGATTTGGGTGGGGCGCTGGGCCTTAAATAGCCATAGCAACATTTCTTGGTTGTCTCTCCTACTAATCACAGATGAATACTACACAACCACATTTGTTGCTAGGTTGTAACAGTCAAATGAGCTGAGCACCAGAAATCCCTTAACTTGTGTCTCAGTATGAGCTCAAACCTAAGGATGAAAGATCTCCACATGACAAAGAAATTGTAAACGCTTTGTTTTGAACACTGAAATGAACACAAAGTGAAAATCAAAAAGAACGCGCATCACTCATCGTCATAAATTTTAGCAGTTGACCTGTTGAATCATATTGAATGTATACATTGCCATATGTTCTACAAAAAAGAGGAAGATGTGTAAAACTAAGAGACATACCAGTTTCACTACCAGAATAACAAGACGATTGAAAACTCTGAGCTCCTGACACTTTGCTATCACCACCTCTTTATTTCTGCCTCACACCCACTGGGCTCAGCAACATCCAGCTGTGATCTAATGTTCTGCTGTCAAGACATAGTAAATCTTCCTTCAGTATTAAGAGAAGACGACTAAGGTTTCCTCATAAGACATGTTTTAGTATCCTAGCTCCAGCCGAACTTGTGCAAATTCCGGTGACCATTCTACCCAAGAGATTGGCGCCAGAAGACAAAAGAAGCCCCCCCCCCCCATTCTAAATGCTTCTGTATAATTAGAAATAAAACCATATAGGGTTATGAAATTATTATAGAATTATGTATAGTTTAGCAGAAGTGCTGTTGCCCTCAGTTTCCCATAATATGTGAATTCATCCGTCCATTTGTATTACAGCACTGGGTGCATTTGTAGAGGAAAGATCGACTCTTCTGTCACAGTTTATCTGTTAACCTTCCAACATTTCATTCTGTGCTTTGTCCGGTGTTAGATCATATCATGTGGTTTTCCTATCCTTCTTTTATTCAGGGTTCCCGTGGATCCTTAAAAAGTATTAAATTTGTGAAAAACGGTTTGAAACAGGAGCACTTCTGGTATGCCTCACTACCCCTGGTGCTCTTAAAGAGGAAAAATATATCAAAAACATGGAAAGAGCTGCCTTTGTCCAGGAGTGGGACATGGCAGGGAAAAAAAAATCCAATTTAGGCAATCAAGTAGATAGTTAATAATAAAATGCCTTTAGTGGGCACAGGCTAATACATTTGATTGCAAAAATTTAGGGTCATAAAATGCCTTAGTCATGAGACGTCTTAAATTTTGAGATGACAGTTTGACTAAATGAGACGTGTGAATACTTTATCAAATGTCTGTATTACTGTACCTAGTTATCTACTATACAGGTACACCAATATAAAAATAAAGTCCAGTCCCATTTGTGCAGTAATGCCACTGTCACGAAGGTTAAAGTGATCCATTTTTGGCACAACTGTTTGAGAGGTGAGCGTTGTGGTTTTTACTGGTGTTGAAATGTATTGTGCATTTCTATAATCTTGTTTGTCCGATTTATATCAACATGGGTTGCCGAGAAACAAATCAAGCTTCAAAAGCAATCACAAAATTAGCACCTCTGTCAAAGTTTCAACAAAAACTGAACATTATAATGATCATGAGTATTTCCTGTAGGACTGTTGCATTACACTGTATTCATTTGTTTTAGGTGGACCTAATAATTTCATCAATGAATTTATGTAATGCAGATGTTGATAAAAATGTGGTTGTGATTATAGCTGCAAGCTACCAACACCATACACGCTGTCTTCTCCATTAGAAACGATTTTGCTGCCACACCCATGGAAAGTATGGTCACACCAGTAACTGTCATCTAAATAAGCTTTGCCTTTTAAGCCTATATAATACCTCCCATATATTATGCATACATGGGCTACACAATCATTTCTGTGTTATTTGAATGAAAAATGTTACAAATGCTGCACCTGTGTTAATATGCATTTGTTCTGCTGTGGTAATAGTATGTGTGTGTGTGTGTGTGTAGGCCTTAAAAAGGTCTAAAATATGATTTTAAAAAAGTGTGCAGCCACACTGTTTTTTACCTGCTTTTTCTCTGTCTTTCTTCAACCATCCTTTTCTACTGATTTGTTCTTGCACAGTACCCCGTTCTTTATTGCATTCACATGATGCATCGCACCATATTCCGCTACATATTTCATATCGTTTTTTGTCTAGGAGCCCCTACCTGCTACGAAATATTGCAGTATTTATTCCTTGTTTTCATAGTTATTGCCCAGGCTTTTACACTGCTGTGCACGTATCATGTAGCAGTGAGTTCTTCCCTTTTCCCTCACAGCAAAGTAAAGAGAAAAATCTAATTATGGCACATTTTCTTCGAGTGCAGACTCTTCTCCAAGCCAACTGACTCTTGCTCTGTCCTGCTGTGCTCTGTCACAAACACACACACACACACACACACACACACACACACAAATATAATGAACCCAGACAGCATGAATACATAAGCAGAGTGCAAATTTCTCATTCCAGCACAACATAATGAACACTGAGTGGCAAAGTAAGGGAAAGGGCGAGGCAAAATGTCTACAGTAGAAATGGCTTTGAATTGCTTCCAGCATTGTCCGCACTGACAGAAAGGATCCCTCTGTTCAGCCACCACACACCCCACTGTGTCGCATGTGTTTGCGCATGCATGTGCTGTAACTGTTATTGTACTGTACATGTACACAGCCAGCAGCATGCAAATAGGGTTCACAGAGGAGGCACACACATGTCTGCAGACACACTGGGATGTGGTGTGCTAGCACATTTGCTCTTTGGAGACTATTAAAACCTCTCCAGTATGACGTGTTGTGCTCGGATGGACTTTGATTTTGGGTGGTGCACCTACCAGCACATTACAAATTACAGAGGGAAATAAACTGGTGAATTCTGCAGTACAATCTAGAGAAATTGAGGTTATTTTGGTTGGCACCTCTCATTTTATTCTGATTAAACTGAACGTTTTTCTGACAGACTGGACTTGTGTTTTGATCCTGATAATGTCCAGACTGTGATGAATGTCTGGAAATGTATAGTATAATGTAGTAGTCCTCAAAGCCAAGGGTGGTCTGCTCGAGTTTCTGTAGTGTGTGTGAATCCTCTGTTCTATGCACCACATCTACTGAGTACTGTGGGGGCTCAGTAGGCAAAATGTGGGGGAGGGGCCAGCTGATTGCCATGTGACCGAGGCGTTGGAATGCACCAATCACAGGGCGATGCGTAGCCATAGAACAATGGTTGTACTATTTCAGATCTTTCATCTCATTATCCCTCAGCCTCAAGTGGGCCTTGCATAACTTTGAAGCTTGTTTGGCATCACAGCATATATTTGTGTGGGTGTGTGTGTGAGTGTGCATGCGAGACTGGCTCAGATGGCTCCGTGTCAAATGTATGATATGAGGTTCAGAGAACGAGAGAGAGGCGCAGATTGGGAAATGTAGGTCGATGAGAGGGAGAGAGATTGTTGGTGTCCCACAGATGCAGTCTCTAATGAGATTGATGTGGAAACAACACTGTGTACTCAGTGCCATCACAGCCAGAGCCTATTCAGCATCAATACTCAAAATCAACTTTTAATACATGCTTCTGTATAAGTCTCTTTACTGTGAAATTGTTGTGGAGTATTTTCTCAGGCATTATACAGTCATCAGAACAGAAAGTCTTGATGTTCTTGCATGGTGCCTGATTGAAACAGAGGAAAAATGATTCAGCCTTCTTTCTATGTAGGTGCCACTCATTTTAACCAGCAGCTTCACTGATGACCTTTCACCTAGTTTAGCAGTTTTCCCTTTCATTTGACTGTTGATAAGGCTTTGTCCCTTAAAGAGAGGAAGGAGTGATTTATGATGGCAGGAAATAAGTGGCTGGATTTGAGAGTGTGGGAGATTGTACCGAGGGACGGAACAAGGAAGAAAAACAACATCAGGATGGGATTATCCATATGTGTACCAAAATATTGTTGTGCTGTATAATGTCTTTAATACTGGTTTTAAGGTTTTATTTTTAAGATCTGGAGTTTTAGGTCTTCTTGAACATTTTGAGGCTCATTTAACCTTTTACCATTTGATAAATATAGTAGAGAAGCAGACAAAAACATCAGGGGGGTGGGGATAATGCAGCAGAGGTCTCCTGCCGGATGTTGTGGTTATGTGCTTAGACCACTGGGCTGCTGATTCTCCTGATTATAAGGCTTGTGTTTCTAAATGTGAGGTTCTCGTGTCCCTTTTTGTTGCTTTTCTTTCTATTTTCTATTTTCATATCTGGGTGTCAGAAAAATCTTAACTTTTAATTGTATATAAATAACTCTCTGAAATGGCTGAAAATATTTGGAAAATCTTTTTGACATGCTGCAATTACCACGGCAGCATTTTAACATTCAGCTACCTCTGCCTCTCGCCTGCACACTCCCATTCCCTTTATCTTTGTGTAATTGTACCTTTTGCCTTCTGTTTCCCCCACGACCCTGTTTGGGACTGAGCGGTATAGAAGATGGATGGATGGATGGATGCCTTCTGTTCTTTGGGCTAGGATGTAAATCAGGAGGGGCCAGTAGTTTGTTCACAAGATCACTGGGTCACATGGTGAGATCACATGGTCAGGAGCTGTCATCAAGCTCTGAGACAGCTGGTGCCAGCAGATAGAGGCGGCACATCAACTCTCTCTCTCTCTCTCTCTCTCACGCTTTTTTCTCTTTCTCTCGCTTTTTGTCTCATAAGCATACACAGGTTGAATTGCCCATTCTCTGAGTCTCTCTTGCTCACATTTTCTCTCACCCCCACACATCCTCAGTTTTCAGCTTGTTTCTCCATCTCCTCCAATCTACTTTTCTCCCTCTCACACACACGCATGAATCTTTTTATAGCACTCTGTGCTCTCTTTCAATCTGCTTTCCCATCTCTCTCCCTCTAGCTCTCTTTGACCCCCCGGTTAATGTCCATATGGGTTGGAAAAGTCCACTGAGGGAGCTGAGGATTATTGCTTGTGTGCTCTGGCCACTTCTTCATCCTCTCCATGTTCTTACAATTTTAGATGGGCCGGTGCTTCAGTCTCTCCAGTGTCCACATTTTAATTTATTTTACTTCAGCTCTGTGCAAAGAAATATTACCCAGTGAGTGTATTAAACAGAATGAGTAAAAGGAGTATCTTCCTGTTGTACACACATCACAGTGAACCACATCATGCACTGATGGAGCTTCTTAGATTGGCTCTAGATATGTTTATTGGATTGCTGCATAAATTCACCAAAAAAAGGGACTACTCCCTTTCAACAGATTTGTTCAAATGTGAAACATTTGTTTTTAGAGCATCATCCAGTAGACACAGCCATCCACAAATTTTATTTTTAGTCCTAGATTGAACGCTATCTGGTTTTAGAAGGCGCTCTGATGCTTTCAAAAAGTGAGCGGTCAACACTATTGTTCCCCTCGATTCCATGATCACAGGGTGAACACACGCGCTACCTGTAGAACTTCAATAACAACAGCAGCACTAATGTTTCCTCTGTACTGGTGTCATCAATAAGTCTGTGTTGAGGAGCCAGGGAATTTAACTAAAGCCTTAGTTGTTGTCAGCATACTGTGGAGTTATATATATAAAGTACATGGCCGTAGTACTACTTACTTCCAGAAGGAATGTTGGCACACAGCAGTTGTTCTCTCCTTGAGGAACTTGCTTGCTCTGTTTCTGAACTAAGTTCGTCTCAGTATGGAGCCTCATGACTACTTCTTCTTTTCTGGGTAAGGCTAAGGTTACTGTGCTATTTCTGTCACAGTTACCAGGGTTCAGAACAGCCTGCCCAGGAAAGTCAAGCCAGCAAAGTCACTGTTTGAATCTCTTCTGGACTGTTTTTGCCTCTCAGTTGCCGTGTCTAATGTTCTTATCTCAAAATCAGTTTACTTACATATTTATTATACAGACAAGTGACAAATGAACAGAAAACCTATTGTAATGTGCCTCAGTGAGGTTTGGGGGCCACCACGTGCCAGCAGAACAGTTTCACTGCAACTTGACATTGATTCTCCAAGTCTCTGCAATCTAGTGGAGGGATGATCAACATTCTTCCAAGAGATATTCCCTCGCTGGTGGTGGAGACACTGTCATGGGGGCCACTGTTAGCCCTGGAAGAGACCACTCTTTTTATTCATTCCGGTTTCTCTTTTTGTTTGTCACCCTTGTGTATGTTATGATATTATTGTTTTATTCTGAATGTTTTTCTGTTGCACTGATCTGTCCTTTGTCTTTGAATGGTGTTGTTTATCTCCTATGATAATGACTTTGCAACTTAATTTCGGAAGCGCTAAATAAATAGCAAGGTGACAAGTGTCCACACTTACACTGAAACATCACCATCCTTGAACTTTAGAGTCTACTGTTGATCATAAATGATTATGGCAACAGCTCCACAGGCTGATTATAATTCATGGCTGATTAGTAAAATGGAGAGCAAGCATGCGGCCAGTGGAATAAATCTGTTTTGTCTTGAACCACCTGGTACTTGGTATGGTGTATTATGCATCTTTTATAATCACCCTCTTCTTTGATTTGTCCTTATTCCACATGCAGCCAGGAATTATAGCAGGAGACGAGGTAACATATACTCATGGATATAATATGTCACTTTTTCCTGCATAAATTCAACTCTATAGGTCTCAGAACTGTGCTGATTTTTTCATTAAGCTATGCTGTTGTGCTTTTATTGCTTATGGAGCGCTGGTTGTTATTCATATTTACTTAAACATTTTGAATGTTCTATACAGTAAAGTGACATTTTTTTGTCTGCATGACTGTGTGAAGTGATCTAGTGCATCTTTTGCCCTTTATCACACATTTCTCTCATTATGCTTGACTCTGCTTGCATTTTCTCATTTTCACACACAGCTGCAAGGTTATTAAGTCAGGCAACACAAGCCGTAGCTGAAACTTAGGGAGGCAGAATGTGATTTACATAGAACGTAAACAGAAGCAAGGACACACATGGCCAGGCGAGCACACTCACACACAGCACATACTGTAAGCCGAGGCTAGCTCCTTTGCATAATTCTTTATAAAGCAGCTCAGCGCCTGAGGTTGTATGAGAGCAGGTGTATGCCAGGGAGGGCTTAACCTCTACAACACATGCATACACAGTGAGACTGTGACGCTGTTTACACTTGCCCACCGAGAGAACTACTGTGCTGAGGAAACCTGCATGCACGTTCAGCCTTCCATAGACAGTACAGCTCTTGTATATTTGTTTCTCCCATGTGACTGATCATAGATTTATTTAACATTTCATTCTCAGCAGATTGTATTGGGGACACACAATGTTCAAGGAAATAGATAAACTGTTGTATGTTTTAGTGCATCCCTATTTTAGCGCATATGGTTTAGTGTACATCATGTGCTACAAACGCGCCTAAATGATCTCAGATCAAGTCTAAAAGGAATGTTTTCCACCCTGCGCTAGCTGGATGACAAAAAGTGCTATGAAATAAAAGTGCTAACATGTTGTTATTACTGCTGTAGTGTTGTTACTATTTACAACATTGACTTCTCCCATTATCTGAACTCCAAGTTCTCTCCACACTAAATAAACCTCTCCTCTCTCTCTCTCTCAGGTCACTCCTCTCTCTTTCCCATGGAGGATGGTTTCCCCGATGATGAGCGTGGAGATCAGGGTCTTGCAGGCCTGGGGACTCCACATTGCTTTCCACACCAGAACGGAGAGCGTGTCGAACGCTACTCACGCAAGGTCTTTGTCGGAGGACTTCCCCCGGATATAGACGAAGGTATGGTAGTTTCTTCACATTAAAATCAAAAGGATTTAATTTAAGTCATTTTTGGTTATGATTTAAACTTAGATGATGGGAACTTGAAGGAAAAGGTACACTATAAAAATACAATAAGCATCTTACTGTACATTATATTTTACAATAAATATGAGGCTAGATTTTTCCTGTAAATTATCCCCTGTTGTTTTTTTGTTAAACCTGCATACCGCCAATAAGTATACATTTTGTCTGGTTTATTTCAGATGAGATAACAGCCAGCTTCCGGCGTTTTGGACATCTGTTTGTGGACTGGCCTCACAAAGCTGAGAGCAAGTCCTATTTCCCCCCAAAAGGTATGTGAAATTGTGCTGCATTGCCAAATAATTGTCAAACATTACTTTCTGGATGACTAAAAGGGAGAAGAAGTTGTCTGCAAATAAAAATGATGGATTATGAGATTTGTGCCAAAGCTGGGTTATGATTAGCATTGGGGTTAACATTAACCAAACCTGAAACATGACTGTAAATCTGCTTTACTTCTGGCTAGTATTGACTACTCCCTACTGTAGCCAGTAGTCCGCCATCTTGTCTCCTTCCACATTCACTGGGAAAACACAGCTATCTCACGTCAGTGTAATAGAGTCATCAATATGTCTGCATCTGTATGGTCTGGCTTTGTTTTTAGGCTGTTTGATTGCTTGTAAAAGCTTTACAGAAAGTTGTGATGAGACATACATACAGTCTCAATTAGCACACAGAAATTCCAACATGGTTGTTTGTCAGTACTTTGCGTCCTCAGCAGCATGAATAATCTTGCTGTATGCTGTGTAGGCTATGCCTTCCTGCTCTTCCAGGATGAGAGCTCTGTGCAGGCTTTGATCGATGCCTGCATCGAGGAGGATGGCAAGCTGTACCTCTGTGTATCCAGCCCCACCATCAAAGACAAGCCGGTCAGTGGGAACACACTCAGGCACACACACAACCCATCTGTACACATCTCTTGCTGTCTCCTCTGCATTCAGTGTTATGACTTTCACGTGACTTTACAAACAGCTTCTATTTTTATTTCTCAAGCTGACACCCGCTGATTTTGTGTACGACAGGTCCAGATCCGCCCGTGGAACCTGAATGACAGTGATTTTGTGATGGACGGCTCGCAGCCTCTGGACCCGAGGAAAACCATCTTTGTGGGAGGTGTCCCTCGTCCACTCCGTGCAGGTGTCTTTCATTTTCACGTTGCTCTTTTTACATAATCTAAGACTCTTTTTCCACAACAAACAAATGTTTATAGTGACAACATTTACATTTAAGGTATATACTTTGCACATGGGTTAAATCCTTTATTTTCTCTTCTACATTTTTTGCTATTTATCAGATATTCCGTGCTGATGCCTTATTTTCAGTCTTTTCAGTACAATGCTCCGTTTTATCATTTTGCATATATTTACACTGTAAATCACAAGTAAACAGTACTAAGTAGCACTTCCACTTCTTTGGCTTTCATTTGGAAATGCCAGCTGTAAGCTCAGTTCTCCTTTCAGTAAGACACTCCAGTGTAATCAGCTTGTGTCCATAATAAACATCAGACTTGTTAAAGAGTAGAGCTGAAAGAGGGACTGACCTACAGGGTCCTATAAGGAAGTACTCTCTGTGGTACGCTGTACTGAGGAGAACATTACATTTCTTTTTCATCCTGATAACGGAGACGTGTGTACTGCATGGTTCATGTTTTCGGCACCACCGGTAGCAGTGCATTAGACTTTAGTTGTAGTTGTGAAAATGACCAAGGTTATTAGGCTCAGTGGTGCATTAAATGTTTTATGAGTGTGCATATTATTTGGTTCCAAAATTTCTCCATATTGGAAAAAAACTGCCATTAATTAATGTTTGACATGTAAAGCTAAATTGTACATTTGCAGGTTATCTCCCCTACATTTTGCACGATGGTTAATTGCTGCTAGAAATAGTTAAATAAATACTGTCAACACATTTGATAGGATTCAGTGCAGGCATCCACAGGGCATGGGCCTAATATTTGCTTCATCAAACTGCGGACAACTTCAATCCATCTGTGTTGCTGGCTTTAAGCTCTCAGATCAACAGCCTTCATCAGCTTAGTGTGTTTGTGTTCACTGGCTACATGGATATGAGTTTCTGTGCGCACACCCAATTGTTCACTTGCTACTTGGGCACCCCACTTGTTTTTGTAAACATTTTTCTCAACTAGTTTTGTGCATCTTTCTTCCCCTCTGCAGTGGAGCTGGCCATGATCATGGACCGCCTGTATGGTGGGGTGTGCTATGCTGGCATTGACACAGACCCTGAGCTGAAGTACCCCAAGGGAGCAGGGCGGGTCGCCTTCTCTAATCAGCAGAGCTACATTGCTGCTATCAGTGCTCGCTTTGTACAGCTGCAGCATGGAGAAATTGATAAACGGGTGAGTGGAAAGGAAAGAGAGCTCAGTGTTTTTTTGGTCTGCTCATTTTTTCTTGATTCTCCTCACACCTCACTTCCTGTTCTGTTCTTCTCAGGCTCTCCCTGACTTTGCCCCATTTCCTAGTTGGGTGAAAGAGAGAAGGTCTTACTAGTTTTTTTTATTTACAGGTAAAAAAGCATCAGGATATGCAAAATTTGTGTGCACATTGCTAGAGAATGTGCAGTAAGGAAGCACATTGTACAGAATTGTTAATTAAATGATTAAAGATCAATACAAATACTGTAGCAATACTTATCCTGACTTCAGGCTTCGCAAATTGAAATTTTATTTCAGATGTTGGATTCATATGAACGGCAACATAAACAATGAATTTACTTTCTTTTTTATTTAACCTTCATTTCTACAATACAGGGTCATTTGGATGAGTATAGGGGCTTATTTATAGCACTGCCCTGTTAGTGGCACATAGTAGGATTCAGTTAAAGGCCTTACATGCTGGTGGAGGATGGTTATTGAGACTAGAGCTAAAGTTAGCTACAACTGTTCTGCAACAACCTGCCAAGGGCCTTTGTCAACTGTGACAGTGAACATGAAGCAGATATATTTACCCTGTGCTTTTCTTACTGCGACCTGTCAAAGCTCCCGTGAGAAATGCCTGTGTATGCTGCTACTCCTGAATCTCACCAGTTATAGTCACTCACACAGTGGCCAGTCATGACACAAGGCTAGTAACCAACCACTGCTATGATTACACTAATATCAGTTGGTCTGTTGCAGAGCTTATGACAGCCTGTAATTGACACAAATATTATTCACATTTACACAATGGATGTCACTGAACAAGCAGAAATCCTGCAGAGTTTAGAGGGAAAAATCATAATATAAAATACTGGTAGTATATGCTGCTTTCTCATTTGCATAATTGCTGTGCAATTTAGTGGACTTAATGCCTTAGTGACATTCACTTACTAATAGCACAGTCCCTCATTACTGTACAGTTGAAAACACTAGAGGTGTTTCGATATTCAGTATGGTCTGGAAATGAAGCCTGAAATCCACAAATTTCATCATTTGGCCAACTCTTCTGAGGTCAGAACCAGTCTTAGGTTATTTCATATGGACCTCTAAGAAATTCAATTGTTAAACAACAATATTAGCAGTTTTCTTTGTTGTGTTTTCCAACCAAACAATTTTTAGATAGACTTTTCTACCTCCAGGCAGCCATCTGTTCCACTAAATGCTGCAAGCATCTCATAAGACATCCATCCATTCATCCATCCATCATCTATACCACTTGTCATAGCGGGCCACATGGGGGCTGGACCTAATCCCAGCTGACACTGGGCGAGAGGCGGGGTCCACCCTGGACAGGTTGCCAGTCTATCACAGGGATGATATATAGAGACAGACAACCAACACCCTCACATTCACAGTCCCAGTCTTACTGGGAATCCACACTGAAAGCGAGATGTAACGTTCTTTGTCTTCAGAACAGCTGTCAGTCAGCAGGACAGCAGCCGGGCAAAGCGTTTTCACCAGGCTGACAGACAACACACATGTACAGGACAAAAATTGTTTTCCTTTAAGTTTGTCAGGAAGAAATGACCTTCTAACATATCCCTGATTTAGTGATTTTTATTGATTTTCACCTGCTCCTTACACAGGGTGAATGAAAGTGAAACTAAAAGCTCAGTTTTGCACCAGCAGCCGGATCAGTTGTAATAGATACCAGTAGCAACAGAAAATAACTGGAGATTTGTGTGATTTAAACATGGCAGAAGGAAAAAGTTAGACCTTAAGCATAAAAAAAAACACAAGGGTTCCAGGGGAGACGGGCTTCTTACTTGCATATTGGATATGTTGTCAGTCCGCCTAAGTTGTATGTTTTTGGACTGTGAGAGGAAGCCGGAGCAGCTGGAGAGAACCCACGTAGGCACAGGAGAACATGCAAACTCCACACAGAAAGATCCCAATCGGCCGCAATGTTCGAACTGGGAACCTTGCTGTGAGGCGACAGTGCTAACCATTGCACTACTGTGCTGCTCGCTTCATAAGACATGAACTTATTACCTGACGCTGCTGATCAAATAATTCCCAATTCTGATTGCAGGTGGAAGTGAAGCCATACGTGCTGGATGACCAGCTGTGTGATGAGTGCCAGGGAACTCGCTGCGGCGGGAAGTTTGCACCGTTCTTCTGCGCGAATGTCACCTGTCTGCAGTACTACTGCGAGTACTGCTGGGCAGCTATCCACTCGCGTGCTGGACGAGAGTTTCACAAACCCCTGGTGAAGGAGGGAGGCGACCGACCCCGTCACATCTCCTTCCGCTGGAACTGAGCAGTCGACAGAGAGGGAGAGGCAACAGGGGAGCAGGAGGGCAGGTAGAGCAGGAGTCGCAAATCATTGTACAAATAAATGCACTTTTCTGTTGCTGGTTCCTTTTTGCTCTAATTTCACTGAATCTTTTTCTAATTTTTTTTAAGTTACTATACATATAAATCTATATATTTTTGGAAGATAGAAAAACTGGAATTATATCCAAATATGTCCGACAAGGAAAGAAGAGGCAACATAATTTTATTTGTGTTTAATTTTGGAAATATTTTATTAGTTTTCAAAAAAAATGCATACATAGGAAAGTCTGAAGTGTGATATGGTACTCTGCTATTTAATTGGCATATTTTTCTAAACATTGTATTTGATTTGAATTTTGATATAAGAGGCGCCAGAACAAATGTGAAGTGAAAAAGGTGTTGCTAAAGAAGAGTGCACTTATTTCCATTTAAAAGAGTGCAGATACAGTATAAGAGACCCTTAGTAGTTACCAAAGCTTGAGCCTAATCAACTTTGGAGAACAGAATGAAATGATTCTCTTCCCTCCCAGATCAAAATGTTTGAACCTCTCTTTTTATGATTTCCAAGACCATACAAATATTTTGATGTTACTTGAAAATCACAACAAAAATTCAGCAACACATTTGGGTTTTGATCTCCATTTTGACACGCAAAAACTAATACCTCAAACTCAGCTGCTAATGTGCCGAATACAGTAAAAAAAAAAAAAAGAAGAAGAAGGAAAACAGTAAGTAAGAAAACATTACCACCTGCTGGTGTTCTCCTTTCCTTAGAACTAGAATCAGAGGGAACTGATGCAACAGGCAGTGTGTGAAGTGACTGGCACAGTTTTGTACTCACTTGCTTCATCACCCTCTTATTTTTGTAATCGAACCCAGGGTCGTGCTAGGGACAGAGCAGAGCACTGCACAGTGTGCTGAGGAATGTATGGCATAGAGAGGCTACAGGAGAACCAGATACTGGTAAAGAGATAAATCCAGCCCCACTCCCCCTCCTCACGTTTGCCTGTGGCCTCTGCTGCTAAGCTAGCAGCCAGCGGAGGGCAGGGCCTCATTCATGGATCAGAACCTGCTTTCTGTGTCTGTACACAGTGGGGCTTGAATCCAGATCTTTCAGGACTGAGGTTAATGTAACTCCTCGAGGGAAGGCTGGTCAGGTAACTGTCCTTATTGCAGTTGTATGGGGCTACCGCCAAGCAGGAAATGCCTCTCTTTGTTTGTTTTTAATGCATTTGTGCAATTCTCTCGTCTTTAATGAAAAAGTTCTACTTTGCATCCAAGAGCGAGCTTCAGTTAACGAAAAAAGCAATTAAATTTTATCTGATTTCCGAATCGTCAGCACACATTTGAGTCACAGAGGGATCTGCCCTTTCGGTGAACCCTCTATCCCTTCTCCTGCCAAGCTAATCCAACTCAGCATCCAGTGTTTTTGAAGCATAAATGAAGATAGTCTCTGCAGTGTGCGCTACTACTACACACATGTGACCCACATGCAGTTTGCAGGTCCAGCTGGTCGTACCCAGCGGCTGTTGGGAACCAAAGATGGCTGTGCAGTAGTGGGTCATACTGTAGCTCATTTCTCATCTAGGTTTGTATTCTTGTTTTCTGTTTTATTAATTCAAGGACATTTTTCTAACAATCTGTCACTTCTGCCCAGTTTTGCTCAACTGTCAAGCCCTGATGGACGCCAGCAAACCAAAGATTGGCCTTGAACACGGTGTATAAATAGATCTATTTAACAGTGCAAAATCCATTAGAACACCAGTGGAAAAACAGCAGGGCTTACAGACACACACACAAACACACACACACAAGGCCTCACACTCTCCATAGCTGGAAATGAACGTGCACACTGGTAGGCGCTACTTCTTTTGATCTCAAATAGGTCTGCGTGTTTAGGAAAATTTTACATCAAGTGCACATTCACACAGCGGAGTAAAAGTAATCCTCACTATCGTTTTGACGTTTCAGGTCACTCAGAGGCATCCTACAGCCGAGCATTTAAATATGTCAGGGAGTTAGTTGAGAAACTTGATTATACACACTAGTGAGAATCCTCATATCGGCGTGGTGTCGTTGCACCAGTTTTGCACCCTGGACATTAGTTTTGTGGGTGTGGTGGGTGAGCATTTTAGAAGTTAAAAAACTTTGTGAAGAATTTGCTGTTAAATGAGATGAAAAAAAAAAGATTATTTTATACATGGCCTGCTGATTTTTGGTACAGTGTTTTCTAGCTAAATTATTTTGTCATGCACATAAAAACATTTATTATGCACTACTTTTCTAAATATCTTTCTTTTTCCAACAGTCATTTTAGGCACATTTTTCACAAATGGGGAAACTCCTTTTTGCAATACCTCAATTTTTCACATTGTGAAAGGTAGCTTTTGTACTTTTGTTACTGAGAGATCTGCATATATGGAAATGTTCATTTTAAGAAAAAAAAAGTTGAGTGATTTCAATATATATTATTTTCAATTATGCTTTTTATACATTTCAGTGCTGAGGAATCTTTACAACTAAGTGCGCACTTGTGTTGATGCGACTTCAGATCTGCAGAAGAGAGACCCCAAGTGTATCGCTCTCTTGCTCTTAGCTTTTCGTACACTAGACGTTTCCAGTAAATCTGGTCAATAACAGCACGGCGAGGAAAAAAAAAACTTTTAATTTGAAATTGATATTAATGTCATAACATGGCACATACTAGTTGGAACTGGTCACTTTCGTCCTGGTTTCCTCTCCATAGATGGAGTAGAACTTCTTATAAGGAGAATGCAAAATTTGGTTCACGCTAACGCTGAATCTCGTATCACAAGAATGGATGTTTGGTGTTTAGATATTTTAATATATGAAAAAAGTATATATATATATATATATTCTTGAACTTGCCAACTAGCACCTATTGTAATCCTTAGCATGCATGACAAAAAAGAGAAAATGACAAGTACATGAATTAGCTATTAAAATTAATTGTTGTGATGTGCACCAAATGTTTCTCAACTATTAAGTTGTTAAGGAACCCACTCTCACCTCACCTCACCTCATCCCCCTCCCCCCCTCCCAACACGTTGATCTCCTCGCTTTCCATTTCGCAGACCTCTGCAGGATGCACATGACACAGAGATAAGACAAAGCAGAAACTTTAAATGGGTTTTGGCAGTGCAGGACTTTGAGCATCCTTATAGAACACTGTTCAGATGACTTGAGAACTCCTCCCCGCTCTCTGTCGAGGTGATCTTACATAGACCTATCTGGAGGAAAGGGGAGCTTAAAAGACTTGAATGTGGTAAATGTTGCAAGTTAACTTCAAGTTGTTATGTGCAATACTTCTTTTGAACCTTTTTCCAGATAAAGACTCTTTGCAATGTAATTCTTTAATGCCATTTTTAATTGCAAACATTTAATTAAAGAAGATGTTAATATGTTTTTCACAGTCATTTTCTACTGTTATTGTAATCCTTTTCATGCTGGTGTTTGTAAAAAAGAAAAGAAATCAAACTATTTGTACTAATATAAATAATTGAAGTTATTTTTAAAACATTAAAAGGTTTTGTGCTCATTTGCTTATTTTGTTTATTTTAAGCTACTGTGATTGATTGCATTGTAATTATTAGGTCAACAATGTATTTAGCTGTTTATTGGTATATTTTTAATTGGAATGTATAATTGATTTTTATAATTTTGATCAGATTTTTGTTATATTTTTGAGGTGAAGCTTTTAATATGTTAAAGTGTCTAGTTTTTACTAATTGCTATATTGTGCTCCACAATATATGGTTCACATTTTCTGAAGGAAAATAAATATTTAAATATTTGTCTGTTAATGATATTACTTAATGGCAAGATTTCAATAGTTTTTAACTGTGTATGGGAAGGTTGTTGTATTTATTAATAGCATTTTTTACTTAAGATATCACCTTAATTTTTATTGTTATTTCACTTTATAAGTTCCTATTTTTGTATTTTCCTTTCTAATTAAGTTATGTAATACGGATATGTCCATATTTCTAGGAGTTGGTCTGTAGAAGTGCTAGTGAAACAAAAAAGAAAAATCTAATGTTATTTAATTGTTTGCAGCCAACTATTTATAACAGTATGCATAATTTTTAAATATTTGTAATGTGAAATGTTGAATGAAATAAATCTTAACTGTGATGAAAATATGTGCTTGGTGTACTTTTATCTATGTTAAATCTGAGACATGTAAAGCTGTTATTGATGCCCGTGCCATATTTTGTCACATATTCTTGTGTCGCCATGCAGTTTAGTACCTGGAGGGTGAGTTCATGTTGAGTTCAGGGCTTAAAGCTAGAAACGTTTCTGTGCCTGTAATGTTGTCACGGGTTAGGAGGAATCATCAACCAGAAGTGCTGATGACGCCTCTATGCTCAAAACGCACAAAATATCCATACACAAACAAAGCAAATGGAAAATATTAGAGCTACTTTGGTGGTAATTAGAGTATTGGCTCGAAACATAGCCCAGCAAGTGGTAGGCTACAAGCCAGATAAATAACAGCTGTGGTTGGGGATGGATTACTGAACAGGCTGATCAGACACAGGCCCAGGAGCCCAAAGAGTCAGGGAGGCCCCCTGGGGCGCACCTGCAAAATATCCCAGAAGAAAATGAGACAAAACAACACAAGCAGATGCAAAGATGACACAAAACATCTGCCAAGAGATGTTAAATGACTACAAGGAGATGCAAAAAAATGACTCGAAATGAAATGCAAAAATGTCTTTAAAGAGACTAAATGTCTACCAAGACACACTAAAGATCTGCAGGAAGATTTGATTTTATTTCATTTTTTTGATTGATTGATTGATTGATTTATTTATTCTTTCAAACATGCAGACAGAACAGAACAGAACAATGATCAAATGACAATAACACACATGATTACACATATCCAACCAATACTAATTCAAAATCAATTTGCTTACACCTAATACATGTTTGAATGGAGTAGGAAGAAGTCAGACTTATCCAGTCCTACCCCATGACATCATATTATACAAAATTTATGCAACATTGGCTGCAAGCAATATCACTACATAGATAAAGCAGATTGTTACTTATTCGTGCATATATCTTGTATAACACATACATTTATATTTATATTTAAACTCCTTAATTCTGGTACTATTTTTCATGTCCACAGTTAAGTTATTCCATAGTTTGACCCCACTTATAGAAATACAAAATCTTTTTTTGGTTGTTCGTATAGCATGAACTTTTAAATTTAAATGTCCCCTTAAGTTATATCCCCCTTCCCTTTCACCAAATAGCTTTTGGATTCCACCAGGCAATAAATTGTTCCTGGCCTTATACATAAACACAGCAGTCTTATATTCCACTAAATCAAAGAATTTTAACAATTTAGACTGTATGAAAGCTACATTTGTGTGATCCCTATACCCCATCTTGTGCACAACTCTTATCGCTCTCTTCTGTAATATGTACAATGGTTGAAGTGAACTCCTGTATGTATTTCCCCAGTTTTCAACACCATACTCCAAATATGGCAAAATCAATGAACAATACAAAATCCGCAATGCTTTGACGTCCAGCATATGTCTAACCCTTGCCAATATCGATATATTTTTAGCTATTTTATGCTGAACATGTCTAATATGAGATTTCCAGGATAATCTGTCATCAACCATTACCCCCAGAAATTTAATTTCATATACTCGTTCAATGTTGGCACCCCCAATTCTCAATTGAAGTTCATTATGTGGTCTACGGTTCCCAAATACCATATATTTAGTTTTCTCTAAATTCAAAGATAGTAAATTATTATCACACCATTTCTTTATCTTGCCAAATTCCTCTGAAACCCTTACAGAGAGTTGCTGTAAGTTTTCATCTGATGCCCAGATGGTAGTATCATCAGCAAACAAAACCATTTTAACAGTTTCAGAAACCTTACCTATATCATTGATGTATAATATAAATAGTTTAGGTCCCAACACAGAACCCTGAGGCACTCCACACACAATGTTCAGCTCACTTGATTGATATTCACCCAACCTCACAAATTGACGCCTCTGTGTCAAATAACTTCTGATCCATTTCCCAACCATTCCTCTGATCCCATATTTCTCCAACTTATCCATTAATAGTTCATGATTAACTGTATCAAAAGCTTTTTTTAGGTCAATAAAAATCCCCATCGTATATTTTTTCTCATCCATAGCACTTGTAATGTCCTCCATCAGGTCAGTAATGGCCAAGGATGTTGATCTTTTCGACCTAAAACCATATTGACAATCAGATAAGATATTATGTTTATCAATAAATGTGTCTAGTCTGTTATTAAAGAGTTTTTCCAGAATTTTTGAAAATTGTGACAACAGAGAAATCGGTCTATAGTTTGTGAGGTTGTGTTTATCACCAGATTTATACAGTGGAATAACCTTTGCTATTTTCATATTATTGGGGAACTGCCCAAGTCGAAACGACATGTTAAAAATATGGGTTAATGGTTTACATATCCCCTCAATTACCCATTTAACAGTTGTCATAGTGATACCATCACTATCACTAGATGTTTTGTTACCACATTTATTCACTATCTCTATAATTTTCAACTATGGGCTTCAAAAACATAGAACTAATGTTCCTTTCGATTGTATTATTATTTAGAGTGATGGATGTATCATCTGTACAAATGCTTCTTGCTAAACCAGGACCCACATTCACAAAGAACCTATTAAACTTATCTACTACATCCTCCAATCTATTAACTAGTGTATCATTATCCATAAAATATTCAGGGTAGTTACTCTTGCTGGAACTGTTTCTAATCAATTTATTTAATATATTCCAATTCCCTCTGATGTTATTTTTATTATCCTCTAATATTTTAGAGTAATATAGTTTCTTACATCTCCTCAAAATCTCAGTTAATTTGTTCTTATATGACTTATATTTTTCTTCCGCCTTCTTTGATCGGTCCTTAATGAACTGTTTATATAACACATTCTTCTTTTTGCATGCATTCTGTAACCCCTTGCTCATCCACGGTCTCTCACTGTAATTCTTTTTATTTTTATACCGCATACGAGGACAGTTCCTGTCATATACAGTCTTATGTAATCCCTTACTCATCCACGGTTTCCCACTGTAATTCCTCTTTGTAATTCATTTTGTTTTTATACAGTTCCTGTCATATACTTTCTTACATATATTTAAAAATTGCTCATATGCTTTATCTAAGTCTTCCTCTCTGTAAACTGATTCCCAGTTTTGCCCCATAAAATCCTCTTTTAGCCTCCTTACAGCATGCTCATTCGTCACCCTCCTATAGAAAAGTTCCAGCAAATTATCCACCACCCTTGACATTTTCTTCACTTTCTTACAACAAAAGTTTTTATCTGTGTACAAGGCCACACCACCTCCCATCTTATTCTCTCTGTTTGTGCATACCAAGTCATAGCCATCAAGGTCAAAATCCATTCCCCTTACATTATTCATCCAAGTTTCAGAAATAGCAATTATATTAAAAGAATGTGTAAGACTACTAAGATAATGTTTTATACTCTGAAAGTTTGCGTATAAACTTCTGCTATTAAAGTGAATTAATGATAATTTGTTTTCAGTCTTAACATTGCTGTTAAACTGCTCATCCGTGTAATACTTGCAGTTATTTTCAGAGTTCTCAAAAAAGTTTTTTTCAGGGTCAAAATCTTCGTCCGGTTCATGATAATGAATTTCAATATTTCCAATTGTGTTAACTTCTGTAACAAATCACTTGCCTCCTTCCGTACATGGGTCATGCTTGTTGTTGTTGGTTCCAACGCTCATCTGCCATCGCAGATATCAATATACCAGCGTATTTCTTCATACATCTGAGGGTTAAGATGAAAAACAACTACAATGAGAAGCAAAATGTATGAAACTATTAAATCAGTGAGGTGTTGCAATGCTTCATCTCAACCCTTTAAGGGCTGCTCTAAGTTTTCCAAGCCACCCAGATGACACTGTATTTGCTTTCTCTGAAGCCCCGAGGCTTCAAATCTTTTTTCGGCACAAAGAGAAAAAAAAGCCCTGAAAGCTTTTTAAGGTTCTGTGCGCCCATCACAACTAAATAATCAAACCTCAACATCAGGCGGCGTTTCACTGCCAGCATCACTGATTGTACTCCATCGCACCTGTAAACACACCCAGCAGTGATGTCGCAAAGTACCACCACACTCTGTAGCGCATCTCTACACTTCACTGCTGTAAGGTTAGATGTTAAACCACTGGAGGTCAGCAGAAACAACAATTTTCAGCTGGTGGTAAGCTGCTCTCTAACTTGAAATCCACTCTTTTGAATGAGTAAATTAAATATACAGACACGTCAAACTGTCATTTGATTCTGTTCTCATCTGGGCACCTTGTATAAACTTTCATCAGGAGTGTGTGTATAAAGTAAGGCACTTGTAACTCTTATTCCAAGTCTTGTGGAGAATTTCTACACACCGACTCATGATAAACCCTCAGTTCAAGGCTTATGTCTAAATCACACATTCACTCACATCATTCACTCTGTGTATCCATAAATAGCAGACAAGCCAAAGCAATAGTGCTGACTGGGCCATGTGTTGTTAACTGAGCTAAGTGCCTGACACCTCAGTAACACCACCAGCTGACTGCAGCTTGCACTGAGTGTGACTTCAACAAACATCAGGCAGTTTGCTGGCAAAGTATATCATTTATCAGCAGTGCTCTTCATATATAAAGTGTCTTATTCTTTCAAAACTAATGAAAATTTTTCGAAGTAAGAAGCTACTACTGGCATCAAGTTCAGGCTACATGACACGGCTTTTGGATAGAATTAATAAAGTACAGGTGGCAGTATCCAGTGGTTTGTTTCAAAGACAGACGGGATTGAAAACATCACTTTCAGAGATGCTGAATAACAGAATGTAAAGAATGTAGATATTCTCCATGAACGCACCCAGGACACTCTTTAAGACAAATTGCCATAAGATAAACAATTTGCTAATGTGTACTTACAGGTTAAAATCAAAAGACATGCATAATTTTTACAAGCAAACAAGAGGCGCTTATCAGATTGTCCCATGAATTTAAGGAAATCAGCTGCCTTATCATAACTGTTTACCCAGTGCAAACAGAGCTCAAACAAAACAATGGCAGAAAACGTAATGGTTGAAAAACAGCTGTAAAAATCAATCTGTTTCCACGAATGATCAATTCTCCAGGAACCAAACAGGAACATCTTCCTGAGCGTGGGTGGGCACCGTATGTGACCAGCAAGAATCTAGCAAATCTATTTCACTTGCCAGAAACAGAACAAAGTGCCACATCATAAAATATTCTCTCTTCAATCAAACTAGTTAATTTGATCATGATAAATTAATTCTCTATCAAGCATATTTAATGTCCCGTGACTGATCATGTGGATTATCTGAGTATCTCTGAGGCAGGAGAGTCTGAGGAGTCAGGTGTCACAGGTCGTGAAGGAAGATATAAAAAACTACCTTCAGCTTCTAGTTCTCCTTTGCTTATTTTAAATAGCTATTTGAGAGAGATTCAGTTAAAGAACTGCTGATGAATGCTATAAAAGTCTGAGTGCATCTTGAAAACGTACAACAACACTTTTCAGGTAGTTTCACAGGATCACACTGACCAGGCCCCCTCTCTGTCATAAAAGTACACCATGTTTATAGATGATTTATCAAATTTGACTGATCAGGCTACTTCAGAGGACCAACTTATCTCAGATAAATCTTCATTTTTCACACAGATAGCCTTCACTGTTTATTATTCATTTTGTGCACTAACATCCTCCTGTAAATGATCAACTTTTGTCAAGCCTGTGTGTCACTGATTAAACCGTACGATGGCGCTGTAGGACCAAAAAAAAATAAAAAATAAAATAAAAAATCTAAACAAAACAAAACGAAGTCCGCTAACGCTGCTTTCAAGTACTGTGGTAAACGTTGAATGTGGGCTTTCACTTCTTACCCACTGGGTTTTTATTTAGTTTTTATTTTTCCATTTACGTCTGGGGGCCGCATAGCATTGATGCTGCCTATAAAACAGATTCTTTTATTATTGGTTGTTAATTGCTTTACTTAATTTGACTCAAACCTTTTTTGTTTTAGTTGTGCTTAAGCTGTCACCCAGAAATTAGGCTGGATTCATAGCCTACTTTGATACTTAGATCAAGCTCTGAATAGTTTTTGTGTGTGATGCTAAACACTAAGTGCAGACGTTTACGAGGGGCCATAAAAAGCAACATTAATTCGGCTTCCACTTTGGCCAAACAAACGAGACTCCCGAAAGAAACAAAAGCCCCCCTAGCGGCAGCTCCGCCGGCTTGGTGCAGCAGCACACGGAGAAGAAGA